AGGGCCTGGGCTGGTAGCAGCATCCTTGCTAGCTTCTAACTTGAGCACAATATGGATGGGAATTCCCGGAGTATCTAGGATGAATCCTTTATTTCACAGATAACCAGAGAGGGGAACTAACCTTTTATTTTTGTTTTAACATGCGATCACATTTTAATAATGTAATCAATGTATTAATATTTTTATGCTTGTCAAAAAATGTTTTTGTCACAATGTGAAGTAAATCAAGGAGGATATTAGGCTATTAGCTTGGGGGAGATAATGTTTTCCCATTATTTAAACTTGTATTAGAAATACACTTTAAATATTATTTTTAATATACTGACCCCAATTTAAAAAAACAAAACTAAAACCCGTTCTTTAATATAGACTGTGGGGTAAAAGGAGATGAAAAATCCTGCATGGTGTTGTCAGCCTTGGGGGGGGTGGGGAAAGAGGGACCGGAACAAGTACAGGCAAAGCTGGGCTGTGCTGCCAAGGGACACACCAGAGATCCATGGTTACCAGGTCCCTGTCTGATGCCACATCCTTGAAGCCTCGCATTCCTAAATGTGTTGAAGGTGATTTTTTACATATCAAATCACATGTACGCTTTCTAGAAGCAACTAATTGTCACACCATCCATACCAGAGGTCACTGTGGATTCACACATATAATTACACCAAGATAAATAAGCAGAGGTCAGAGTTAGACAAAACCAAAGAGGACTGCGCAGAAATGAATGGATGAAGTCCTCCACTCTGAAAAGGAAGGAGAGAGAAGGCTGTCTGTCCAGGCCTGTTGTATTGTAGTTTTCAGCGTACATTACACTTACAGGAAGAGGAGCTACTATCCCTTGAGTCCTCATATTTTTTTGTTATATCATGCTTGTCAAAACACCTGATAAATACATAGGCCAAAATGGATCTCTAATAAAATATATGTGGCCTTATCTCAACATAATAGGATTGAGAGCATGCTTATTAAACAGACCAAAATTGGATATATCTGCTAAAATCTAAGATAAAACCAGACTCAAATGACCTTGACAAATTGAAAAGTCATCAAATTAGCCGGGACCGGTGTGGCTCAGTGGATAGAGCGTTGGCCTGCGGACTGAAAGGTCCAGGGTTCGATTCCGGTCAAGGGCATGTACCGTGGTTGCGGGCACATCCCCGGTAGGGGGTGTGCAAGAGGCAGCTGATCGATGATTCTCTCTCATCGATGTTTCTAACTCTCTATCCCTCTCTCTTCCTCTCTGTGAAAAATCAATAAAAAATATTAGAAAAAAAGAAAAAGAAAAGTCATCAAATTAAATAACAGAAGGCAAGTTGGTGTAATTTTAATCTGTTCTTGAGTATATCAGAATAAAAGCTAAGCATAACATTAAAGGATCTTGTAGTCATAGTGGAACATCAGCTCTAAGAGCCAAAAAGCATAACTTTAAACCATTTTTAAAATCAACACAGCACTAAGTCTGAGCATGTGTCACTGAAGTCGAGTCTTCCTTTATTCTAATGGTAATGGAATGGAATGTTCTCCCTATCTCACTGGGTGGGTTGGGAGAATAAAACAGATGTACCAGTCTTCTGAAAAATTAAATTCAACATAAAAGCTAGCATTCTATTCTAAAACAGCGAAGTAAAAAAAATAGAATAGACTTGAGGAAAGAGAAAGTTAATATTTTTTAAAGGGTACTGGCAAAGTGAGTAGGTACAATCCTCCTATATAATAAAAGCCCAGCAACCAAATGGTGGAATGACCAGAATGACAGGTTGGCCAGATGTTGTGACATGCACTGACCACTAGGGGGTTGATGCTCAATGTAGGCGTTACCCCCTGGTGGTCAGTACGCTGCCACAGTGGGAGCGCCGCTTGGCTGACTGGGATGAGCGGCTGCTCCTGCTGTGAACCCCGGAGCCGATGGGCAGGAATCCGGCTATGATCATCACCTCCTCGCCCCAGGCTCCTCCTCCTTGCTCCCTGCCACCTCCTCTTCTGGACACCTGCAGGCCGCTGCCGAGCTCCCAGAGCTGACCCCGGAGGCTGGGAGGCGGGCTCATGGCTGCTGTGAGACTGAGGCCTACTCCATCACCTCTCAGTGCTATTGTCCCTGGGCTGGCCTCGACTGGTTCCCATGATCTCACTCGTAAGTGGAATCTAATTAACAAAATAAAATGATGGAGTGGATCCAGAGACATGGAAGCATGGAAGAGAGTGCGGAATCTCAGAGGGAAGGCGGGGGAGGGGTGGGTGGATGGGAGGTAAGCAACCTAAGACCTTGTATGCATAGATGCATTACCCATGGACCCAGACAATAGGGTGGTGAAGGCCTGGAGTGGGGGTGGGCTGGAGGGATCAATGGGGGAGGGGGAAAGGGGGACACATGTAATACTTTCAACAATAAAAATATAAAAAAAGAAAAAAGATGTCCAAATTCTGGAAGCTGGAAATGGAATAGACACAAAATAATGATTCAGCAGACAGAAAGGAAGCAGAGAACAGGGGTCCCTAGAAAGCCAGCCCCTGGGGCACAGATCCTGAGAAGGCAGTGTCTCAGAAAGCAGGTGGGGTAAGATGGGGCTGGCAACCAGAACATTAGCTCAGAGTTGGTAAGAGGAGTTGGATCCCTAACTCAGCCCAATTCAACCAGGTCACTGTCTCTTTAGAGGGATATTCAGAAAAGAGAAAGCTCTCTAAGATATCAGAAATTAAGATAAGAGGTTAGATGATAAAAAGTTGAAGAAAACATAGAGAAATTAGAACAAAAAGCCAGAGAGATAGAACACAGGAGAGAAAAGATAAAGCCAGAGGATAAACCCAGATCCTAATTAACAGGAATTCCAGAAAGAGAGAGCAGAGAAGACAGAGGGAAAGAAATCATGCAAGAAATAACACATGACAAACTTCCCAAACGGAAAGGCCTGGGTTTACAGGTGGGCTAACCCTCACGGAGTAGCCAGCACACTGAATAAAGACTGACCTCATTGCCTACCATTCTGAGATGTCAGACCCCAAGGGAACCTGAGAAATCCTCAAACCTTCCTGGGAAAAAGATAGGACACACACATAACAAATGAAAATCAGAATTCCAGGGCCTGACTGACTGATTCAGTTGTTAGAGTGCCGTCCCGATATGCCAAGGTTTCGAGTTTGCTGTAGTAATATATGGAAATATTTTAAAAATGTCTAAAAATGTTAAAAAGTTTGAGTTAACTTTCTTAAAACGTAAGGTGTGATATTAAGGACACATTCCCCACTGACCTGAAGCGGGTGTGCCCCCAGAGACAAGGATTTGAACTTCAGTTACTGACTCGGAGGGACTTGCTAAGATAACTGTGTGTGTGTGACGTACTCTCCCTGGATAACCACACGCAGCCCCTCGCCCACTTTGGGATGAACACGCATGCACTGACGTCATTCACTGACAGCCACCTGAACGGCTGCGCGTACAGAACAGGCTTTACAAACGGGTCCTGACAGCCAACATGCTGGCCTGTCGAGGCCGCCACGCAGGCACGTCCTTCTGTCATCGGCAGGCGCCTCCCCTCCAGGCTCTGCTCCCTGCAGGCGACAGAGGACGGCCGGTACCCCCCTTTGTGAGGAGAGCGAGCTCCAGGTGAGGGGCGCCGGCCCTGCCTCCGACCGGACCAGCCCAGCTGCGGACCCCGAGGACAGCACCCCGGGTCCCCTCCAGCCTGCACCGCAGCCCTGGGAGCGTGTGTGAGTAACAAAGTGCCGTGATCTGCAGCTGCACATGTTCACGTGCTGTGAGTCCTCCACAGTTAGCGGAATCACTGTGCGAGCGCTTAAAACTGAAATGAAGCTTCTGGTCTTTTCGGTCCTAGGCCTGCCCTCAGTCCTGCTTGTGAAGGGCAGCCTCTTCGCTAGCAACGACTTAAATGTCCCAACACCTGCCCGGCTCAAGTTTATCTCCAGGGACGTCTTAGGTAAACCCCCTGGGTCCTTTCCCAGGACCTACTTGGGACAGGGTTCAATCCCAGTCAGGGCATATACAAAAATCAATCAATGAATGCATTAATAAGTGGAACAACAAATCAATGTTTCTCTTTCTTCTTCCCTTTCTCTCTATAAAACCAACCAACCGATAAAAAACAAAACCCAAAACAAACAAATAAAAACACCTCTCTAGTCCTCTCAACTGCAACCCTAGAAGCTATAGGACAAGCCAAGAGTCATGACACCAAGACAGGGAAAGAAAATGATTTCAAATCTAGAATTCTATACCCAACCAATCTTCAATTAAACATGACTGAATAATGACCTTTTCAGCAGGCAAAAATACAGGATTCAAGTAAGAGCATTTACCAGGGGGAAGAAAAAAATGATGGTGACGAACACCCTAGCATAACAGTTATGAAACAGACCTAAAGAATAAACATTCCAATGGCAAAGTCTGAATTAGCCAGCACACTGAATAAAGACTGACCTCATTGCCTACCATTCTGAGATGTGTGTGATGTACTCTCCCTGGATAACCACACGCAGCCCCTCGCCCCCTTTGGGATGAACACGCATCCCTTTGAGATGTGGTCCAAAAAAAATAAAAAGAAATAATATGAATTAGTAATTTTAGAGATATGAGTTTTAGAAAAAAGGAAATATAGCCATAACATATTTCATAAGTATTAGTCAGATGTTGAAAAATGGGAAAAATGGATCAGTAAATAACACAAATAGCAGAAGCTTATTGTTTGGAAACAGGAAACTAATAGAGGAATGAATCAGAAGTCGGTCTGAGGAGGGGTGGAGGAGGTCTGTTTTAGTAAGATGTATTGCACTAGCTTGATTTTGTAGCCTATAAACACATATTATTGATAAAATTAAAAGTTAAATAAATCTTCCAAATTTCTGCCCATCATTTGGGCCTAGTGCTTTAACCTGGAGGAATCACAACATGATATTAAGAATAAAACAGGAAGGCTGCAACAGGTAAAGGTGGAAGAAATAGAACCAAAAAGAAGATAAAGAGCAAGGTGGTAAGGATTTCTCGTACTCACCATCTCTCTGGCTATTTCCAGCGCTTCCTGCAGGCCGTAGAGCCTGCCGCAGACCAGGTAGATTCCATTGGCCCAGAGAATGCAACCTTCATGGACCCAAAATTCATTGCTGTCAAGAGGTAGTTCAGGGATTTGTAACTCCAGCTCAGGGCCACCTTCTGAAGTGGTGGGCGCAGAGGGCTTTGAGTCCAAAACAGTCTTTTCGCTGCCGCCCTCTGCGGGTGCCTTCTTACAGGGAAGCCCCCGGGCCAGGGACCGAGGGCCTCCGCCGCAGTCTTCGGAGCGGTGCCGCCGCTTAAACCTGGGGTGGGCGGCCAGGCTCCTCTGCTCCTTCTGCTGCTGCTCCTCCTCCTCCTCAGTGTCCGTCTTGGAGCCGTTGGAAGCGCTTTTGTGCCGTACCTTAACTTTGCTCTGCATTTCCGTGGCCCGCTTAGGAGGCGGGTTTTTCGGGAGAGTGGCTGCATAATCTTGGGGATAGAAGGGTCCAAAGAGGTCCCCCATGTTCCGGTAACTGGCCCACTTGCCGCACAGACAGCAGACCAGGTGGCCCATCACAGAAGACTCGGTCACCACAGGTCCCTGCAGCATGAAGGACGAGGCTGGGAGCGCCTTGCTCTCGGTGCTGCTGGGGGGCGGGGTCAGAGACCTCTGCCCCTTCCGACCCCTCACCAATTTGGTCTGTTCCTCTTCTTCAGCATTGATGATTGTACATACGGCTCCGAGTTCACACTTATTTACTACATGAATGTAAGGGAAAAAAGACTTGTTCTTGGCATCACTTTTATCCAGTGGCTGGGTGGCATACTTGAGTTTGATCTCAGGTTCTTGGGGTTCTACGATGGGAACTGCTTGTTTGGTTTTCCGCTTCCTTGGCTGTGCCCCAGGCTTCCTTCTCTCCCTCCTTTGCCTCTGCTTTTTTGGCTTTGGCTCTCCATCTGCAGAACCTTCTGGTATCTGGGGGGGCTGAGGGGGTGGAGGCGGTGGCTGCTGCTGTTTCTTTTGCTTATTCACACTACCAATGGGTCTCCCCTTCTTCTTTCCTGAAGGGAAATACCCCTTTGGGGGGAAACCCTCCTGTTTGGGGGAAATGGTCACTGCATCGGCCTCCTTCTCTTCGGCCTTGGGGTTTGCCTCAGGGGCCAGCCCGCCGGCTGCAGGGACATTCTTAGAGTCAGGGAAGACTAAAGGCGCTGCCCCGCCCAGGGAGCCATCTGGTCTCCCTTGGTTACCGCCAGGTTTCTGTGAGGTTGCGGATGTCATGGCACCAGGGGGTTCCTTGCCAGCAGTGACCGTGTCCGGGTGTGTCTCAGTCTTCGTTTTGTCGTCCCCACTGCCACGCCACTCCTCTGAAGACCTTGCAAGAGGCTTTTCTATGTTCAGCTCCTTGTTTGTTGGACAGACCAGGTCAGACACCACCTCCCCTTTCCTCTTCTCCATCTCGGCATCCTGAGCAGCAACGCTCCCCCCGTCAGGAGGGCCACTCTTCAGAGACAGGATGTCATCCAGAGTGACCGTGTCGCCCCCCGCCTCTGCACTGTTGGAGGACGCACTCCTCCTGACATTTGGGGAAGTGATCTTCTGAACGATAGCTTCCAATTTCAGTCCCCGTCCTTTGCGTGGGGGCAGTATTTTGGTCTTAGCAGGACTTGTGAGGGTAACAGGAGGGCAGCTTCTATTGTCTGAGCTTGTGAGGTCCTTGGCGGATTCTCTCTTGGGGATGGACTTGAAGTCCTGGCTGTGAGAAAGATGGGCATAGGAATTGTACGCTCTATCAGCGCCTTCTTTCGGTGGGTGGAGGAGGCGCCCTCTGTCTTCAGTGTTGCTGTTTTTGGCGTCTTGTGACTGCCTCTTACTGGGAATAGGAGAGATAAAGGAACGGACACGCCTCCTCATGATCAGGGGGTTTTGAGAAGAATGATCCTCTTGCCCCGGGAGCCGCAGCATAACACTGCCAGGCTTGGATGACTGTGCGGACTCAGCCAGGCCATGCCCATCGGTCTCATGGGGCGGTCCGTATCTTTTTTGATTGGACATTCCTGGAGGGCAGCTTTTGGCTGGAGAAGTCTGCCTAGAAAGATCCCAGCAAGATTCTTGCTGTAACTTCTGGGAGCCATGCTTCAATTCAATGCCCTTGTTAGACAGACCATCACTAGACATGAGGCAGCGCCCACCTTCCTGGCCGCTGGGGTCATGGTAAGTCCCCATCGGCGGGCCATACATCATACCATCTTTGTCATTTTTCAGAGGGCTTCGCACTCTGTCCAGGAACTGCTGCTGCCTTGGGCTCTTCCGGGCGCCCTCCTGCCTGTGCTGGGCCGCAGCGATCACTCCCTGAGTGGAGCTGCTGCTCCAGTCCTTATATTCCTCTTGTTGCTGCTGGTACATCTGCCTCTTGTAATGGAGCTGAGAATTCAAACCTACATTGGGGTCCCCATAAGCATGAGCCCGCGTGTTTGCGTGATACGCAGAGGCCAGGCTTTCCGAGTTGGGAGAAAAGGGAGCATGTAATGAGCTCCGGTTGGCCCTCTCTGAAAAGGTCATATGTGGGTTCATGTGATGAGGGTCTCCCCCTGGGCCCCTGCTCCTCCCGGGAGACATCTTCAGTTTTTCTGCAAAGTCATGATACTGAGAAGGGGGCCGACCCCTCATGCCCTCCCGACCACCCATTCTGCCAGTGACCCGCCGCATGGCTGTGGGTCTGCTGTCTTGAGGGCCATAGTCTGAGATGGAGTCATGGGTGGCAGCTCCAGGGCTGGCATTGCCTCGGTAAGACTCGTGCTTGATGCTAGCAGGATGGCAGTGGTCTCCAGATTTCTTGTTGTTGAAACTAGCTTGGGATTTGGATTGCTCAAAGTCTTCCTCTTTTATCTGCCCGCTCTGGGATTTTAGTTTTGTTTCCATGGACACCAAGCCACCTGGAAGAATGACTGACTGACTTAAACTCGGATTGAGACGTTCATTCCTCCCCAGTCTGGTGTCAGCACCCATGTGTCCCAGCGAGTGAGCCCCCGGGTCCCTGACAATCTGTCTTAGTGGAGAAATGTCACAGATCACGGATCTTCTTTCGGAGAGGGAACCCCCGGGCTCATGGGCTGATGACTGAGGCTCTATTTCAAACTTTCTGGGAATCGGATAGTCAGCCAAATTGATCTGTTTCATTTCCGAAGCTGAGCTGCCCGATTTCCTCTCCCAGGGGCCCCAGTGGGGGTTTTCTAATAGGGACCCAATGCTTTTGTTCAAAAGGCCCCTGCTAGCTAATTCATTGGTTTGACTAATTAAGACATTAGGCCTTGCGGTTCCTTCTAGACCACCAGCCATGCCCTGATGCTCCTGAGCACTCCTAGAGTATCTCCTGTCTGGGTGGTGGTGGTAGCCCTGAAGCACTTCCTGCAGGAGGCTGGGGAACTTCTCATTTCTGCCCTTCCGCTCCCCATGGCCAGTGAAATCCCCCTTCTCTTGTCCTGCAGGATACTGAGGAAAGCCACCCACACTCCTTGGCACGGCGGGCCCGAAGCTGTCTTTGTAATTATAGCGCAGGCTTCCGGGAGATTTGCTAGGCTCAGTTCTGCCTATGAAGCCAGGGCCTGCTGTGGGGTGCCCGCTCTGGCCATTGCCCTCTCCATTGTGGTTGGGGTTATCGCCACTCCTGTTCCCTTTGCCCCCTCCTGCTGGAGGCTCTGGCTGTGGAACTGAGGCATGGCTGGTTTCCTTGGGCCCGCCCGTGCTGGGGGGCCTTTGAGCGGCTGTGGGCTCATCCTCTGGAGAGCCTTTATCTTGTCCACCAGGCTTTTCTGCCCGAGTTGTCATGGCTTCCCGGGAGACAATCACCCCAATGGTCTTCTCATTGACTTTTGGGTTGCCCTCGGATGATGATGGCGGCTCCTTAGCACCTGGCGAGGCGGCCTCTTCTCTGGCTGCAGGACTGGCACTGAGTCCGGGGGCTTCATTCTGAGCGCCTTGTGCTGGGGAGGAGCCGGCTTTCTCTGAGGCTCCACCCTTATAGGTGGTGTCAGAGCTGGTGCTCTGGCCACTCAGCTGCCTGACTCTCTCGCCTTGATCCTCGGAACTGCTGGAGCAGCCTCCATCCAGTGACTCTGCCAGGGGGGACTTCAGCTGTTCTTCGGGCTGGGAGGAGCCTTCAGAGTTGGTGCAGCTGTCTGCTTTCTTGGAAGAGGAGGAGGGCCTCTTGGAGGTCTTCTTCTGAGGTGTCAGGGCATCAGAAAGGAGCATGTGCTGGACAGTGTTAGGAAGATTGGCCACTTGAGTACTCAGGGCACTCAAACTGCTCAGCCCAGGGTCCGTCAGGCGCTTTTCTGGCACTCCTTCGAGTCCAAACCCTTTGAAGCTGGCAGCGTGAGAATTCGGACTGGGCATCATCGATGGGGTTGGGCTGAGCTGAGGCATTAACTGTAGGATTCTGTTTCTAGACCCCATGGGCACACTGCCTTGCCCGCACTGGAGATTCTCCCCGCTCTGCATAAGAGGAGACGGGGTGGAGCTACAGCTTGGAGACTGAACCACAGAGGCGGCTGGGGAAGGGTTGGAAATGGGGCTGAAGTTCTGGTGGAACTGCATGGGCGATCTCACGGGAACCTCGGGCTGGTTGTACTGCCCCACCTGGCTCTGCAGGGGCAGCTTGGTGGCAGCGTTGGAGTACTGCATCACGTGCTGCTGCTGCTGCTGCTGCGGCTGTTGCTGCTGAGGCTGCTGCTGTGGCTGCTGCTGCTGCTGCTGCTGCTGCCCCTGCTGGGTTCCTTGTGGAATCTTTGCTTGTTCAAAATTTTTCATAGATTGAGGCTGATAGCTGTAATTTGATTGTGATCCATAAGCCTGTGCGTTAGAACCTACATTATGCCCTTCATACTGGGATCCAGCATTCACATTGTAACTGCTGTCATAGCTCTGCCCAGACTGACTGAAACGCTGTGGTGATGGGAAAGAGGAGGAGGAGGAGGAGGCGGCGGCGGCGGCAGCAGAAGACTGGTAGTGCTGGCCAAACTGACCCACACGTAGCTGGTAACCAGCGGCAGAGGATGGCAGAGCTGAGGGCCTCTGCATCGGCTGCAGGTGGGATGAGCCTGACGCTGGCTGGCCAGTGGCCTGTGGCAGAGGCTGATGGGACTGGTAAAGCTGTTGTCTCAGCTGCTGGACTTGCTGCTGCTGCTGCTGGCTGGATGCCTGCTGCTGGTACTGAGCACTCCCTGGAGAGAAAGGCCCCGTGTAGTCCTGCTGATAATGAGACACACCACCAAGGCCAGAGTGCTGTGCTTGAAACTGGCCCACGTGACCCTCACTCCCATACTGATTGCCGAAGCTGCTCCCCTGGGGGGGTCCATAGCTCTGCACAGGCCCAGAAGGCCTTCGCTGAGGCGGCTGCGGGGTGCCTGCCGCCACGGGGTCTTTGTTGCCTGCCATGTAGTAGAAGTCTCCAGCCTCTTTCCGGAAACCCTGGTAGCCTTGATGGCCAGAAGTCTCGCTAGCCATCGCTGCTGCAGCCGCTGCTGTCCCTCGCCGCCCACCACCACTGCTGCTGCCACTGCTGCCACCACCACCACCTGCGCCCCCAAAATTCTGGAACATCTGGGCCTGGCGAGGGCTGAACTCTTCTAGCCGGGAGGAGCCGTGTACTTCCTGTGGGTAGCTCTGCTGGTTTCCGTGGTAACTGCTTTGCTCCCGAAAGGACTGCATACTGTTCAACAGCACAGAGGCGGGCCAACAGCCCTCCTGGAAATGAGAGAGAAAAAAAGGAAGTGAGACATACGTCCTCCCAGTACAAATAAATCAAGTCAGGGTAGGTGATGGAGTGGCTATGATAATCCAGCTATCCAGATGAAACTGACTGGTTTGAATTTCATCTCCTTTTCTTTTCCTATCCATTTCTGAACATGAAAATACGCAGAGAAATGGTCTAAAGTAGGGGTGTCGAACTCAATCAGAGAAGGGGCCAAAATCTAAAATCCAGCCTAAATCGCGGGCCGAATGGTTTACTGAACAGTCATAAACTGTCATTGTGATGGAAACGCAGCGGAGTGCAGTGATGACAGCGTGGTGCGGGCCACATTGCAAGGCCTGGAGGGACAGATTTGGCCCGCGGGCCTTGTGTTTGACACATGTGGTCTAAAGAGTGAGCACAAGTCTATGCTAGTATGAAAAGAAACAACCTGGGTAAAAACAAATTCAATATAGTAAAAACCTCATTATTAAATGAGCCCCCCTCCAATTCAACTGGGTAAAAATGTAGGACTGTGTTATTACTCTCGATTAAAAAAAAGAAATTTTTATATATTTTCTATTATGGAGGGGAGGGATGAGAACAACTCTTTATTTGCTTTCATGTTATTAGACTGATTACTAAACTAAAGAGTCTCAAAATAATGATGCTATTCCTCTGGCTAGCCCCTCCTGGAGTTTGAGAAATGGATGGCCTGAGAACCGAAGTCAATCCCTGTATCCAAATGCGTGTTTCAGAGGTTTACTGTAATCACACCTACTGCAGGAAGGCCTCGCTGCAGTCAGCCACACAAACTTAAGGGTAACCTCCTCTTCTTCTTTTTAAAAAATATATTTTATTGATTTTTTTTACAGAGAAGAAGGGAGAGGGATAGAGAGCTAGAAACATTGATGAGAGAGAAACATCGACCAGCAGCCTCCTGCACACCCCCTACTGGGGATGTGCCCGCAACCCATGTACATGCCCTTGACTGGAATCGAACCTGGGACCCCTCAGTCCACAGGCTGACGCTCTATCTACTGAGCCAAACCAGTTTCAGCAGGTAACCTCTTCTTGACACATAACTGTCCAAGGCACCGCTCAACCATCCATCAACGTGCAGGTACAAAGGACTAGGCTGCATAAGTGAAATAGCTGTGACTATTCTTGAAGATTCTTTTTGGAGGTCTGCAAGATGTTCTAGCACCTCTGATCCCCACATAGTTTCTCCCCCCCCCCCCACCCCCAACATAGATTTTTATTTGGCAATCAGTTATTAATTATGATTACTATAAAAGAGGGAATACAGCCGAAACCGGTTTGGCTCAGTGGTAGAGCGTCGGTCTGTGGACTGAAAGGCCCCGGGTTCGATTCCGGTCAAGGGCAAGTACCTTGGTTGCGGGCACATCCCCGGTGGGGGGTGTGCAAGAGGCAGCTGGTTGATGTTTCTCTCATCGACGTTTCTAGCTCTTTATCTCTCTCCCTTCCTCTCTGTAAAAAATTAATAAAATATATTAAAAAAATAAAATAAAAGAGGGAATACAAACAGTCACTTTGGAGGACAGCAAAAGACAGAGGAAAATAAGAATTCATAAGCCTAGGACCTAGACTTCCTAAAGTCACTTGATTAGGCCAACCCTTTGTAATACCTCTGCTAATGTAATTAGCACGTAGTACAATAGAATGCTCTTTTTCAACAGTTGATCAAAAGCTCATTTTACTTTGTCTTTTGCCTGGGCCTGCCCAATTCTCTGAGTCAGAGATGAATAAGACAGAGCCAAACTGTTCCAAATGACTTTAAAATCAATTATTTAAAAAGAACTTATGACTCAGCTGGCATGGCCCAGGAGGTCACAGTTCGATTCCAAGTCAGGGCACATGCCCAGGTTGTGGGCTCAATCCCCAGTGTGGGGTGTGCAAGAGGCAGCCAATCGATGATTCTCTCATCATTGATATTTCTAGCTCTCTCCCTCCTCCTCCTCTCCAAAATCAATAAATATCATATATATATGTCATATCATATATCATAATATATGTCATATCATATATGTCATATCATATATCATATATATATATATATATATATATATATATATATATCTACCTATCTACCTACACACACACACACACACACACACATATATGAAGAGGTAATGTGCAAATTGCCGTTACTTTGTCACAGTAACGACCTTCAACAGGCTGCGCTTGCAGCAGGAGCTGGCTGGTGGGCAGGGAAGGGGGCAGGGACTTGCTCGGCTGGGACGTGAGGCTGTCTCCCAGCCAGGTACCCGCAGGCCGGGGACGTGAGGCTGCCTCACTGGCTCCTCAGTGAAAGCTGAGCCCGGAGCCTCATTCTTATTCAGTGTAGTGGAGCGTGGGAATTGGTTTATAGGATCCGGTCCCACTTGGGGAAATGTTACTACAGTCGGAGAGTAGATGTAAAATGGGGATCGTATTTATTCGCTCACAGGCTCGCTGAGAACAGTCACCATCCTCACAGAATTCAGGATGCCCCACGTGCAAACCTAGAATGAAAAGGCAGTGACACCCTACATGGCCAAGAAGTAGAAACTGCCCTTTGAAAGGAGCGTATGCAACAGAACTGTGAGTCCCAGGAGGGCGAAGAGGGAAGCTGTTCTTGCGGTTAATTTAAGAGTTTAAGGTGCAAAACTGGCATCAGAAAATAGTGGCTTAACACCGAGGCCATGCAGTCACGTGGCAACACTGAGACCGTGGGATTCTTGGGACGAGTGGTTTCCGACGCCGTGGGAACCCCCTGCCCCCACCCCGGCCTCTGGGGGCCAGTTACAGACCATCACGTGTGCAGGGATGAGGGCTCCGGGCCTGCGGAGGTGGGGTTAGGGGACAGAGGCCCTCCTCCCATAAAGTCCCCCCAGCCCGCGCACCATCAGGCTATGTGGCGTGTGGCGCGCCCGCTAATGGTGTCATCTGGTGACGTCACCTAGAGGGGCTGCTCAGGAGTTTCCCTGAAGAGGGGCGCACGCCCACTCAGAGGCGAGGAGGTACAGGCTTAGGGGCCACTCGACCTCCCACAGCCCTTCAGCGCGGCCGGGGCTGAAGCTGCAGGTCCGGCTGGCTGTTGGGGGCCTGGACAGTGCAGTGGCCCTGGTGCTGGCGGCGAGTGTTGGGCGCCTGAATTTGAGGAGCCACCTAGACCCAAGGGCCTTCCCAGCTAGACCACTCCCCTCCTGCATCCCTCACCAAACCCGGGTCTGACCCTCATCCTCCTCACCAGACCTCAGGGGCCCAACCTCCCAATGGTGACCTTCGACTGTGTGCCTCACCCTAACATTTCAGTCTCAGAACCTAACACCTCCCTTAACCCCCTCACCTCTGATCTAACCTTTAACAGGAGCCACTGCCAACCACATCTGGCCCAGCACCACTCTCCCCCCTCCCTCTCTAGCCCCCCACCTTCCTCCATGGAAGCTGCTATTGCTTCCCATGAACTCAAACGAAATAGGATCAATCAAAGAAGAATATTTCCAATCAAAGACAGTGAACTAAAGAAGAAATAAAGTTAACTAATATACATGAGAAAAAGTTAACTTCAAAGGTAATCAAGTAATTGCAAAGGAAAATACCTGGAACTTAAAAAAAATCACAATATTCAGTGCTGAAGAGGGTGTGATGAACAGATACCTATTAATGTTGGGCCAGATATCATCATCATAATAAAAGGCTAATATGTAAATGGTCATCACACCATGACACCATAAGGATTGAACAGCAGGAGGCTGCCTCCTGCCCAGCACCAGGCCAGGGGCCATGAATAGCAATATTAGAATATTTCCTCTAATGAATTCCCTTTTAATGTGGATGAATTTTGTGCACTGGGCCACTAGACTCTATATAAACAAAGAAGTTATGAAACCCAAATGAGCGAGGGTCAGTTAGGACATGGCATATGAAGCTAGTTTCTTAGTTTCCTTGCGGGGAGCTGAAAACGGAGTTACTAGCAGAAAGTTGGCGATACTTTTGGAAGGAAGCTTTATGCCCAAGCCCTGCAGTGGCTCCCCGTCATATTCCAAGTGAAGCTGGCCTGGAAGGCAGCCTCCCACCTCCTTACTTCTGTGAGCGCCTCTCCCACCCAGCTCTGCTCTATTCCACGCCTCTCCTAGCTTCTGGGAGGGGCCACTGGTATTTCTACACAGGAACTTGGTTCTTGCCTGTGCTGCTCTTCCTCCATAGCCACACGGCTTGTCCCTCTTACTTCCTTCCTCTCTAAGCCAATGTCACCTAATTAGTAAGGCCTTCCCTGGCCATTTTATTAAAAAACAGCTAACTATACCCTTGCCCAGGCTCTGCCAATCTCCTTCCCCACCTTAGCTCCTCCCAGTGCTTACTCCCAGCTGACAGGATATGCTACTTGCCTACGGTCTGTCTCCCCCACCAGAAGATAAGTGTCCTAATGGCAGAGACTTGGAGCCTTGCTGTAATCTTTGTCACTGAAACAGTAAGGAGCACACGGCAGGCCTTGCGAGCCAGTAAATGGTACAAAAACGAGGCCTTAGAGAACTAGGCTAGAACGTACATAAATAGAACCTGATCGATCTAAGAACAGAGCTGAAGACGCTGAGCCCTTGCCTGTCAAATTCTCCAGGTGCAGTTCCAAGGGAAAAACCCAACTTGAATCCACATAGTAGCCATGAGGAGACTTCAGAAAGTAAGCACGATCAGGGCTGAAGATGGCCAGTAACTCCAACCCCTAGAAGCTTGACTCACTTCTTCCTGAAATATCTTACGTCTAAAATAACTAGATGAGGGGCTATTACTTTGGTATTAAGTTTGATTATAATCACATGACCCAAAGTCATCTTTTAACATTCAAATAATCTCAGAATCTAAAAGGAACCATTTTTCATCCTCTTCAAAATGTCTTTACAACAGACTGTTTTCTATGTTCCAATGAATCTGCTTGGAACAGACACTAGCTTATTGTAATGCTTACCTCACACACTGACCAGTGATGCACAGAACACTCCTCTCCCCG